AATTCCTATAAAAAATAGCAATAAAGCCTAAGCCTGTCTTGAAAGCATTTACAGTATTTTGAAGGGTCATATAGGTTACCATTTTTTCTCTCTGCTATATTTACATTTTGCTTTATTTGAATGAAGTTATAGTAATAGCCAAGGAATAGTTCCATTTTGTTCTGAGAGATAATCACAATCCAAGATTATTATAAACAGATGGAGATGAAAATTGGAGACATTCACTCCAGGGAAATATGATTATGAGGAGGATTATGAGGAGGAGGAGGAAGAAGAGGTGTGGTAATAGTGATGATGATGCCCAATTATCAATGACTCTAAACAGCTCAAAACACTAAACAAAGTTACCCCTCCCCCGCAAAACCCAACCCCATATAAATTAAAAAAGCATGGCAAGTGGTCTGTCCCCTCCCTTGCCTTTGCTTTCCAAAGAACAAAGAAGGGTCCGCCCTGAAATGCTTCCTCCACCCTTATTCTTTCTGTGGCTAACATAATTCTTGTCTGACTGTTGCCCTGGCTGCATTTCTTCCTCCTGTCTCCCATTCTCATAGCCCTCCAGGCAATGGGACAAATCCTTGAGAGTTTTACTTTTAATTTTTACTACATGATTTTAAATTAGATTATAAAATGTTATGCAATTATTTATATATTATGGATACGATCCTTTAGGAAGAAGTTCTGTTGATTCTTGCTTTATATATAGATATAGACTACTGGTATCTCAGAATTATCTATAGCAAGTGAACCCACAGATTGCCAATAATTGTGAAGTGTCTATAGTCAATGTTCTATCTTACTGCCATTTCTGCACTAGTATAAATTTAACTTGAATTCTCTTCTCCAAGCTAATCGAGAACATAAACCAAAAAAACCCTTTTGAACAGGCCATATTCTGAATTTGTAAAAAGGTTTGAAGTTGATTTACTTTTATTAAATCCTGAGTAGATTCTTTCTCTTGATACTAGGTGGTTGTAAATGCTCTTTTGGGGGCCATCCCCTCCATTATGAACGTCCTCTTGGTATGCCTGATCTTCTGGCTCATCTTCAGCATTATGGGAGTGAACCTCTTTGCAGGGAAGTACTATCATTGTGTCAATACCACCACAGGTGATCTCTTTGAAATTGAACATGTAAACAACAAAAGTGGCTGCATCAATCTTATCAATGTTGAAAATGCCACTGATGTCCGTTGGGTCAATGTCAAAGTCAATTTTGACAATGTGGGCTTAGGCTATCTCTCCCTTTTGCAAGTGGTAAGTAAGCATGCTTCCCCTTAGGAAATGTTCTATTTTAGCTGAAACCTGTCTTAGAGGCTCACATGAAACCTGCCAACTAAAGCATTGGTAAAAACTGCTCTTTGACCTATTTAACCTTAGCCAAAAAGATTATTTCTTCCAGGAAGGAAAACATAATTTCGACCCAGATTATTGTGACCCGTTCTTAGTTCAGTCCAGTGTTTAGAATGCCTGGGCCTAAGAAAGACACTCCAAAGGATAAAGGGCAAGTTGATCTGGATGTGCAGAGAGAGGGAATGAAAGCTTTTTATTGCAATGGCATTCATTTTAGTAGATTTTCTAATGTCTCTTTTCCGCACCCAAACATTAAAATATTGCTTTGATTAGCCCGATTCAATTCTTTGTCTTTTGGGTTTTGAAAAAACAGTTCACCACTATTTCACTATAAGATCACTTTTGTCTGAGAGAGTTTTCTATGTTTTGATATGCTGTAATCTCAATCAGCCCTGCATTCCAAATTAATAGTGTCCTTACTAACTTTCAGCTTGACTGATTTGATGAGAATGCCTTATTTTTATCAGCAGACTGGTCTGTAGAATTATCTAGGACAGGGGTGTCAAACTCTATTTCTTTGCAGGGTGGATCAGCATTCTAGTTGTCCTATGTGGGCTGGTGGCGGGGAGGAGTCTGTGTGCACATGTATGCACAGGAGTTGGCATGTGCATCTGTGTGCAGAAATCAGCAAGTGCTTGCATGCGCAGGTCCCACCCCTGCCTTCCTAGCAGCTTCCTGTGTGCCTGCGTGCCTGCAGGATGGCATGGGCCAGGCCTGTATGCTCCTGCGGCCGCTGACACCTGCTTGCCTGCTGTGATAGAATGGGCCTGGCTGAAGCTTCCTGCAGGGCCAGCTGTGGAGCCCCTGATGCTAGACACCTCCCCCTCTATGCAAACACACCTGAAAGTTCGGTAAGCATGGTCATCCTGGAAATGGTGGGGGACTGGCCCGTGTCTCTTTGATCCAGCCCATCCGATCCTGGTGGACATGCTTGTCATTTTGGCCTGGCCCGCACTATCCAGCAGATACGCATGCACAAAGGAGGCAGTGGGCATATGCGTGCACAGGCCTAGCTTGCCCTATCCCAGCACACACGCATGCGCCTACCTCCTGTGCGCGCGTGCACCTCCTGGGATTGGATAGTCTGGTTGAAGTTACATGGCCGGCCCCTTACCATTTCCAAGATGGCCCCATCGGCTTAATCTGACCACCTCCTTGAGTATGACACCCCTGATCTAACAATCACCAATTGTTTGGTGTGATCAGTGTAAGGATGCTTTAAGATTAATTTTGGTGATCCCTGTGACTATCTCTCCTTATTTTATATTTTTTCCTATTAATTTCCCACATTTTCTCCTGGTCTAAACTATCTTCCCCTAATTTCTCTTGAACCAAACTAAACTTTCTCTGCTTGTGTGATCGGGAGAAAACCCAGCCTTCCAAATATGTTTTTATTTCTACATACTGGAGTTCTTGGGGGGAAATAGAAGTGATGGTGTTTACTCTTTACCCTCATTGAAACTACCAGTATTCAAAACACTTTGGCTCATCTATTCCCCCAGTCCTGTCCTATCAATCACTATCACGAAGGGTTCACATTCAGAAATGAGTTCCAGCCAGTTACACTGTAGAGGAAAGATAATTTCAATCCAATGGAGATGAGTTTCTACTTTCATTTGTTTTTATGAAGAAATTACCTGCTGATGTAAGCATATACTATTCTATTATATTTCCTCTTCTCCATTCGTTCTTTACAAACTAAGCCGAATTATTCAGAACAAACATATCTGTTCTTTCTGGACCTGCTCAATTAATATAGATTAGTAGGTGATTCTAATTTTCATTAAAAGGAACACTCTAATAAGATATCATCTCCTTTCTCTCACCATTTTAACAAAGCCAGTTGTATGATTAAATAAACATGGCGGTCCTCATCCTTTCTTATTGTTTTTCACAAGGCAATTCTATTTTTTATTATTTTTTCCTAAAAAGTTTAGAAAATGAGAATGAAAGATGTAACTTCTAATCTGAGGTACCTGCTCTGGGCTACGAATTTATATATGTTTTTACAAATTCAGAGTCCTCTATTCTCAATCAAAATGAATATGTCCTGCATTATTCTTCCTTGTAGGCCACTTTCAAGGGCTGGATGGACATCATGTATGCAGCTGTTGACTCCCGTGAGGTAATTTGAAAAGACAGTGTTGCTTTTCCTCTTCTGAAGCTTTCACGGAGGAATTAACAAAGGGTTCATTTCTTCCTTTGCTTTTACAGCAAGAGGAACAGCCTCATTATGAAGTGAATCTCTACATGTATATCTATTTTGTCATATTTATTATCTTTGGGGCATTCTTCACTCTCAATCTCTTTATTGGTGTAATCATTGACAATTTCAACCAGCAAAAGAAAAAGATAAGTATCTTTAATTAGTTTGTTTTTGTTCGAAAGGTATATGCTCGCTTTCAAATAAGTAGTTCTGGAGAAGTTTTTACCAGCATCACAGAAAAACGAATTACCCAAATTGCATGCTCCCTGCAACTATTCAGTGTAGCTAGATTATTTTCCTTTTGGCTGTTCTTCATACAAAAAAAAGGGTATAGTGTAGTGGCTCAAGTTGTCCATGGCAGATGCCAATTCTGGAACGTTATGACAAATGTTGGTTCTGGTTTTCGATAAAGATTGTTATCTACTTTCCAAGCATTTAAATTACATATATTGGAGCTGACAATGGCAGAAGCATGGGATAATCTTATAAACATTACTCTGAACTGATTCACAGATTGCTGTGAATAATCTGTGTGCCTGTAACTGCAGACTGAGTTATAGTTAAGTTTCAGGGATCAGATTGAAGCCCACCTTGCGTTCCCAGAGCCCAAGAATGTGTCCTGAAAACCGGAGCTGTGTTGTAGAACATGCAGCATAATAATAAATGAACGTATGCAGAATGGAAAGCTCATTCCTTCTTGAGAAGCAAATTTAACTTACAAGGACGAGAAACTTCCCCTGCAAACATCTTCAAAGAAAAATTAGGAAGTCCAGTTGCCTCTTGAAAAAAAATACTTTTGGATTCCCCTGCAAATACACATTTTAAAAACTTTTTATTAAAGCATTCCAACAAATTTAGGGGGAGATAGACCAATACATATTACCATTAGTAGCATGCTTTGGGACTTCGATGCATCGTCTCTGACATTAACTTGAATATTATT